AGGTTGAAACTATCAATCAGATCCTTTCACTATATTGCCATAATTTTCATACAAAGCATTTCATGCATGTTTCAGAAATTGATATTTACAGTCCACATGTATTAATTATTAAACTAGGCTACATTTTTATTCTCTTAATAAAATATTGGGATTAGAAAATATATAACATATTAGAAAATTATAACATATATGAGGTAAAATGCAAGAATAGGATGAATATTTTTTTAATTTATTACAGTGAAAGACGTATCACCATTAATCTCAGCTAAAATATTTCTCCTTCCCCTTCAAACATACTTATCTCATTCTTCTTGCGACTTCTTGAAGCAGTTCTGGAAATCTTCTTTCATAAATATATTTATTTACACTGTCCTGGACATATTTGTTTCTCATTTTCATTTTCATCAGTTCATTTCTTGCAGCACATAATAACTATATTCCTTATGGTTGTCTTGATGACCAAAATCAAGGAAAAATGTTTATCTCTTATGATCATTTTGATTTTGCAGATCAGCCCGAGGTCTCACAAGTGCCAGATCCATCAAATAAGTTAAATGAAAATACACCCCATTCTCGCATAAGCCTGCCTTTTCACTGGGTGTAGCTTAGCGGTAGCACTCACGTTACTGTCCTTACACCATTTAAAGATACTCACAAAAGGTTACTTCCAGAACAGTAAAATAAATATGTTCATAGTGAAAAGGAGTACAGTCGTACTCTGATTCATGAACTTAATTTGTTACCTAATTCTGAAAACTATTCATATTCATGTTCATCTCATAAAGATGCCTGCAGTAGTGTTCATCACCACCTGTGAAGTTCATGAATAAAAACACAACTTTACAAAACACTTCTCATTGTGAAACAAACTGTTCACAAGCAAAAGCTTTAGTGAACAGAGATACCATTGTAATTTGAAAGTGAAGTTCTTGTGTTCTTTACTCCAATGCTTTTTTAATTTAAATATTCATCATATATTTTGATTGACCCAGTGAGATTTAAACAGATGCATGAGGGAAGATCTCTTATTGTATTTTACAATTACAGTGAGACACAATCAGTCTTACAACAGGGCATCTGTAAGCTGGAGAATCAGGAAAGCCAGGGGGTGATTCAGTTCAATTCCATTGGCCTGAGAGCCAGGAATTTGGATGGCCTAACAGTTTGAAGGCCCAAGAAGGAGCAGTTCAGATTTCTGAAGGGAAAAGAAGATGGATAACCACTATCAAAAGAAACAAAGAATTGACCCTTTATTAATGTCTTTGTTGTATCTGGATGCTCAGAGGATTGGAAGCTTCTCATCTGCATTTCCAAAACACTATTGTATATGACTGGGCACTCTTGCTTTGCTCTTGACCTTGAGTTTTTTTTTTTTTCCTTTTTTTACTTTAGGATTAAACATATTTTCTCCATTTCTTTTGGATATTTTGTATTATATATAAAAATACAAGCACTCTATTCTTTCAACTTCATTGGGAAAAAGTTTGAATAAATTTTCTATTCAGTCATATAATTTAGTTAGTTATGTGAATAATCCTGATGAAAATAGCCAATTAAAGTGATACATATAACTTCAAGATTATCCAATATAATTCTTTATAAAAAGTATATTTTTCCATATCATTTTAGTGATCTGAAAGTAAAACTTTCTACAAAATGACTATACATACTGATTTGTGTGGGACGATTAATTGGATTATATCTGACACATAGAGAAATTATCAATAGTTCCCCCTTTATCACTTGTAAGTAGGTGCTAATTTGATTAGTGATTTTGTGCTCATCCTATTGGAAAATCATGTGATGAGAGACAATGTGAATCCATTGACTTTTTATGTGAGTTAAAATTGAACTTGTATTTTTAAATTGTGCATAAATTTATTATAAAATTTAATGTTCCCATTCACATTATTGGACCATAGAAAATAATTTGATACCTATATTTTATTTTATCATAAAAGAATTGAAAATTTTAAAAGATATTATTTTTTCTGTATCTATTATGAGAATACATGAATTGTTTTCCTTTTAAAAAGCTAGTGAGTTATGTAATTTTCTAAGGTTAAATAAATCTTGCATTCTTATAATGAACCCAACTGTATTTCCAAATTCATGATTCATAGTAGAAAGGATTTAATTAAGATTTTTACATTCATAACCAGGAGTGAGATTAGTATGTAATTTTCTCTTTGGCAAAGTCTTTATGATCTTTATGAGGTGTTCTGCTAAGGATGTGCTCGTTTTCTAAAACAGACTGCATACACCAAAATGGTTTGAGTAAGACTGAAATTATCCCTTACAAGGTTTGAATTCACTGGAAATGAAACTGTGCCTATTAACTCATTGTAAGATTTTAAATAGATTCAAGGGGCCAGGGATTTAGCACAGCAGCGTCAGCACCTTCCTGGCAAATGCATGGTTGAGAGTTTGATCCCTGTTACCAAAAGAAAAAAAAAAAAAATAGACTCATTTCAAATAAATATTTATGATCAGATAGTTTTCTTTTTCCTGATTATGTTTAGTAATTTTTGGAGAACAAACTTATTTTCCAATTTATAAGAACTGTTTTAAAATACCCTATATTTTATATTTAATACTATTACATGATTTTTTTGTTTTGTTCTGCTTTGTTTTGGGTACCACAAATCAAACTCATGGACTTGTCCTTGCCAAGCTGGTGCCACGCCACTGAGCTACATGCTGGCATCATTTTAATAATTACTTACTTTAAGTCCTTTTTTTGTGTACTTAATTGTTGCCAGATTTTGGTTAATTTTGTTATTCTTCAATGGAGAGATTTTGTTGAATATTCTTTAGTTCATATTTCTTTTCTATTTCAATAATAAGTTTTGTAATATCTTAGCCTTGATAATATATCATAAAATACACATTTTAAGAACCACTGTATCTGTATACAAGATTGAACATGCATATATCCTTTATCTTTACTTTTACTCTTTTAAAAAATTTTCCATTGTATTTTCTCTTTTTGACCCATAAGTAGATTTCCTTCTACCCAAATCATCAGATTTCCCCAGGAATCTCTCTGTTACTGATTTCTAACTTATTTGTGTACTGTACATATGTTATAGGCTGTATTTCATAGGCCTTTATAAAGTGAATTTTCTTAGCTTATGTAGCTGTAATCAGAAAAAGTGCATTTTCTTCACTGTGTTGCATTATTTTCATATATCGTTAATTTTGTTACTTTGTTTATATATTTGCCATTTTTAATTTTTGTCTGTCTCATCTCTTAATCATTGACAGCCAATTTAACAAATTCATAGTCACGCTGAATTTCCCTCTAATTGCTCTTTTACGTACTCTGTACATGTACACAAAATCACACACACACACACACACACACACACACACACACACACACACACACACTTAACTGCCATAAGTGATATGTAAGCTGCCAAGCAGTATTTGCATCTCAATAAATATATTTCCACAACTTTGGCAAGTTTCTACATGTCTACCTCTGCATTTGGGTGTGCTGTCATACATTTTTTGGTATTCTACAAATTCTTGCTAACTCTTGAGTATTCAATGTTTGAATCCTTATAAGTTTAATTTTGCTTTCCTATGTGTTTATCTGTTCATGTTTGTGTTGTAGGTACAGTGAAAAGTTAGAAAGAATGCATGTGTGCTTTACAGAACCTCTCGAACTGTTGGATTTCATTACTTCTCTTATTGTACTCCATTAATCTCTTAAAATATACATTCTTTTTCTTGTATGTTCTGAAACTGTTTTAAATATACTCTATTATTACTCTGTTCTACACATTACTTAATCTTTTTCACATTTTACCTCTTCCCTCTCTGCCGTGACTTCTGGTTAACCTCCAATTTATGCTTTCTCTCCTCATCTTTAGTACAATTTTTACACTGTTTTAAATGTTACAATCTGATTTTGTTAAATTTCTACTATTCTTATTCAACTACTTTTCAGGTCAACTTTGTCATTATGATAGTCTAGCCTTTTAGTCATATTGTTAATTAAATATATCAGTTTTAATCTTTAAAATATTTAGTTTATATTCTGCCTCTATACTTTCTATACTTCCTTTTTCCTAATTATGTCATCATCTGTTTTCTCTTGTCTGTTAATTTTCCACTCCATTTGTTTATTTTTCAAAATTATATCTGAAAAATAAATGATATCAGTGGTCTACTAAAATCTAATGTTAACTTGAAATGGATTGTACACTACCAATGGATCACAAAAAATGCAGAAATGTAGCAAATTAGTAGGAGGTTCACCAATGAGCTCACCTACCAGAATGATTAATAAGGATGTCTCCAGTTGTCATTTAGATGTTTTGGAAATTAGCAAAGTGTTAACCAAACTTCCAAAAGAAGTACCTTGTCAATAAAGCAGTGTCACCTACTACATTTGCTTCTTAAACTCTACTATCTGTGAAATTTTCCTTTCTCTTCTTATGCAGATATCTGATAAATATTACTTATTCATAGGAATGAATGTGGACCTTTAGTAAAATATTGTAGAATGTATCATATGAGATAGAGGACTGAAGAAAATCAAAGATAATAGTATCAATTCTTACATTTACATTTGGAGCTTGCATGGAACATATTATTTTCTACAATATAATGTGATTATATCATGAGCTTATTTATTAAAATTTTAATGGAGAAACATCTGACACCAATTTTGAAGAGATATTACTGCATCGAGAAATTTTCATGTTTCTGCTACAATATTTACATGAAAATAACGTCATTTATAACACTTACATCCAATTTCCCCAGTTATCTAGCTAATGTGAATTTTGCTTTAGACATAAAACATTTTTCCAAGATATCCAGTGTTCAAAGGTGGAGCTTTAGGAACAAAATTGGATTACAAAGGCATGATATTCATTGTTGCATTAATCAGTCGATGAAAGTATAGCTTAATGTGTTGGTAGGAGATGGGCCCAGAGAGAGGCAGTGAGGAAGTTGGGTCATTCTTTTGGAAGATGAATATCTACCTAGCATGGCTGTTCCTTGTTTTTGCTTCCTGGTTGGTGTCAGTTCAGCATCTTTCCTCCTCTGTACACTTTCCATGCTGTTTCTTCCTTAGACCCAGCCGACTATGGACTAACCTTTCTGAAACCATCATTCAGAATAAATCGTGCCTCCTTTAAGCTGCAGGTGTCAGGTATTTTGTCCTAGGAGAAGGAAAACTGATTAATGTGGTATGTAAAACTGTGATAAAGTTAATTTTGTTTGTAAAACCAAATAATGAAATTTCTTCCCTATTGGGAGTCAGACACATTTTTTTTTTTCAATTGGGAAGTATATAATGACAGTGATGATAGTATAAATTTAGTTATAGATAATTACCACACCAAGACTGAACATTCTTGTTTCCCAGTTTAATGAGGTTAGGTTTCTTGTCTTGGCTCTTGCAGATCTCAATAGACTCTGGCTTTTATCCTAAAGTGATCTAAAATTAAGACTGATCTTGTATCTTCAAGGGAAAAATAAGTTCTCTATACATCTTCTTTTATTTATTTTCTCTTTTCACCTAACTTCAGAACAAACTTAGAGCATTTCCAAGTAATTTATAACATTTTAATCACCATTTCTTATGTTTTTCAGCATAAGGTTCTGAATTAGTATTAAAACAAAACAATCGATACTTTTTCAAACAATGAGAAATGTATACAGTCTGTTTGGAAGATGTTTGATCACAAAATTGTGAGAGTGTTTTATGCTAGAAAGTTAAATCATGATGATGATAGTTAGATAAAATACAGAAACATTTTACTTACCAATTTGGGGTAGCAATTTTATTCTTAGATAAATATTTATTTCTACAAGAAAACCATCTATGCTTTTCAGGTATTGGATGATAAATCCTGACGTACAGATTTTGAGTTCTTATTGATTTTGAATTCCTGCTGTTCCAGTATTGTTGTTTCTTGGCTAATGCCTGTGAAGACATAAGCATTTCCACGTGTTTCTTTTAAAGTATGCTACACCAATGTAAATAGGATAGCAGTTTTTTCTTGGATCTTAGCCTTACCTCTTTCCCTCTCCCTCTACTTGTGGCAAAGCATTTGCTAAAAATTTATAGATGACTAAAATTGCCTTCCACTCAAAGTAAGACAAATTCCATACAAAATAATTAAAACTTAAAAAGAAAAATATCTCATGTAATAAAATGAACAAAGATAGATTGATAAATTTCAGGGTTTCAGAACCAAGATATATTTTTTTTTCTTTTCACTTTAATTCAGTAATCACATTCTTTGTTTCAAAATAGTACCCTTGTTCTTTTTAAGATAACTCTGCCACTTTTGGATATCATATTGAAATATGGCAGTGTTTGAAGTAGAAGGCGATTACATATTTCTTTTCAGAGACTAAGGCTATATCTCTTAGAGTTTTCCAGAGGATATACTCTTTCATGTCATTGCAAGGTTTATTTTCCTGCAGATATGCTTGTGTCATCCTCTGGCAAAGTCAGTCACATTAACATGATGAAGTTTAACTAATAAAGATTCACACATGGGCCATGCACCGAGGGGTATGATTTAATGGAGCCATGAAGACATCCTTAATTTTATTAATGTTAATAAGATGAAAGATAGTCTTTGGCAGGCAACAATAAAAAATAAAGTTATTAATAGTGTCAAATTTTAGAAGTTTCCCAGAAAGATTCCCTTTACTAATTCTTTACACATTGAACATTATCTGAACAAATTTCCTGCCCACTATTTTCTGTAGGACTCTTATTGTCATTTGTGCTCAATTTTTAATGAATTACTTAGATTAAAAGTATGAAATTCAATTCAAATTCCCTAAATTTTGTACATTGGGGAAAATAAGTTTCAGGAAGACTAAACAATATTCTCAAAGAAATATAGGTAATAAAAGAAGCCTGATTCTGTTAACCCTCAGAAACCATTCCTTTGCCTACAGTTACAGCTCCCCATATATATTTAAACATATCCATGTAAATGTAAAAAATGAATAACAATGTATATCTTTTTTTAAAAAATGCTCTACTACTTTACTTTGTAACAGATGCTATTTTTTTCTAATTGACAGAAGCATCTAATTTGTATCTGTACATGTGAAGATACCACATGCCAGCATGTTTATCCAAATAGAAAAATGAGATCTTCATTAACCAAGTTTAAGTTCTAGAATCATTACCATGTCATGATTCTAATGTACAAAATAAAACCAAGCAGATAGAAACTGCTTTCTTCTGAGTTCTATTGCTGCTTGCTAATCTTTCAATTCCCTTTGTTTTTGCTAGGCTTCAGCAGCTTTCAGAAGGAAATCTCCAAATGGCTTCCTATGGCTTCCTCTATGTGATATATAACAGACATAAGGTAAAAATCGTGGTGGATGGTGGCTCTGTTTGTTTGCTTGTTTGTTTGGAACTTTCTGTGAGTTAAATCTCTGAGATATTCCAACTTTTGCTTAAAGCAACTTGGATAACATCAAATAAATAATGTGTCAAAGAAGGATACTCACAAAGACAAAGTAGAGGATTGAGGAAACCAAGAAGATAACAAGAGAAAATCCTTTTATTTGTTGAGCGGTTGCAAAAAGTTTTCCCCTGCACAGTGGGATATGCATTTACTTTGGAAAAGTTAAATAAAAAAGAAGAACATCATTGTTTAGCAGCCACTTGCATTCTTCATCTGGTTCAGGGAACGATGATCAGGCTGCCCCAGGCAACTTAATCCACCTGTTTCTCATTCACTGCTCCATGCAGTTTCAAAACTTCTTTCAGGACAAAATAAGATGTGGCTACAGCTAAAAAATGAGACAGACAACCAGCAAGAGGTGCTTTTTCTCATTCAATGCTTGTATAGAACTCTTAAGATACTAGTTTTTGCTCTTAAGATACTAGTTTTTATAGTGATTAAGCATCTGTTACTTTTATGTTGTTAATGATGTGTATACCGTATTTTATATACTTTGAAATATGATGCTGAAAGTGTGGCTCAGAGATAAACACCTTGCCCAGAATACATAGACCCTAACTTTGGTTGCCCATGATGAAAAATTATCTCTGCAGCTGCAATTAGTCATTAAAATAACTCTGATGAAAATTTAGGAAATTTTCCATTACAGGATAAGATAACTACACGAGGAAAAGACACTACCAACTCAATAAGTATATGCTTTGAGGTTTATTTGTTTAGTTTTTTCTATGAGAATGTATTATATTTGGGCTGGTAATGTTGCAATATACTGACATTGTCATTTGCTCACTGAAGAGTCTTGGATTTAGTTACTGACTAAATGTTTGCTGCCAGGTATAAAGAGGTTGATTGTGGTTGACGGGCTAGAGTTTTGCAATGTGACAGAGTATACCCAGTAGTTATTGTATTGCAATAATTTGTCCACTGGTTGAAACAAATAGAGATAGTTATCTGAAGAATTTGTATATTTCATAAGTCACTCTTTTTCATGTATATTAATCTAAATATGGAAAATGAATGCAAAGCTTTAAGGAATCACTATTTCTGTGAGGTCAGTGAGATCAGTCCCTCAAAGTTCTGGCCATGCATGACACATTTATTTCCTGTACTCCACTGTACCCCTGCCTTACCTCACATGCAACTTTTTCTGTAACAGAAAACTTGGCCAAATAAATTAAACCTTGAAATATATAAAAATGGAATTTGAGATAATAAGGCAGGGCAGAATTTTAGGTCTTAGAGTTTTTCTTCACATTTTATTCAAATAAAGATTGAGATTAACAGAAAAAAGGATCTCAGTTAATTTCTAACTTGCATTATCAGGGTTAATTTCTGTTTTCTTTTGTTATATTGTACATAGAGAAAGGGATTTCAAGGCCACTTTATTTTGCTTAGGGAGTAGCAGGTTGAAGACTGGAGAAATGTGGAAATCCTGTTTCAGAAATGAAAATCTTTTTCTAGAGTTTGAATTACTTTCTTTTTAATATTTCAAATTATAAGGAAAAGACAGAATTCAAATACTCATTGTTTAAGAACTTATATGCTTCACTTTGCCCCATCTTTTAATTATTTATGTTTCTATTCACTAGCAGTGATTTACCTTAAGTTTCATAACTAAAAAGCTGTTTGAATGCTTGTCTTTGGGATCAGAAATAATTGGGGATTAATTCCAGTTTTCAGTTTAGTTGGTAAAGGAGAAATTCCCCCGTGAACTAGGAATTGAATCTTCTGAGATGAGAGAATAGCAGCCTGAATAAAAGATTCTGCTTATCAAATAAAAGGAAACTGAATGGAAATGATTTCACATTGAGAAGCATTGCTGTAATGTAGCAGGTACAAGAGAGTTTAAAGAAACCAAATGTAAAATGATACCATTTTCAGATGTAGATTTGATACCAGCATATTATAATATATGTGTACTACACTAGCTTTTCCTGAGTATGTTGGCCTTTAGGAAAGAAAACAGGTTCTAAGCTGTTAAAATTGGACTAAGCATTAGAGATCAATTTTTATTTTGAAATTTCATTAACTCTGAGAATTTCTTTAGTCCTAAGGTTAAGGGGCAGTCTCTGTTTGTTTGCTTGCTTGTCCACTGCACGATCATGAAAATTTCATCTTTATGTCTTTTTTCATCTCCCTCTTCAGAATTTCTCCTGGAGAAATTTTTAAAAATTAAACAATTTAACCCACTAACTATAGATAAGTTTTTGACAACCCTAGTCTTGCCAACTAAACATCTGGCGCTAAACTAATATTTTAAAAATCCTTTTGCTACCCTTAGCCATCACACTAGTATTCTTTTGGTTTCATGAATGCAAACACAATGAGCAGTTGTTTTCTAATTCTGCATGTTGAGGACAATGCTTTATTAGTGACCTAAGTCTATTGTGTGCTACTGTAATGAAATACACAATGGTGAATTGCTTATACAGAGTGTGATGTATTTTTGCTCACAGTTCTGAAGTTGAGAAGTCCAAGATCAAGGTGCAGTAGATTCAATGGCCTGGAAAGAACTGTACTTTTCAGAGGGTAAAATTCTGTGTCCCACATGACAGAAGCAAAAGGGCAAGAGGGCCTCGTCTTATTTTATGGGGGCACCTAATCCCATTCATGAAGAAAGCCCTCAAAAGCCCCCATCATTTCTCCCAATTTTTGTCCTATCTCCTGGTTGTGCTGCATTGGGGAATATTTCAATAGAAATTTTAGAGGGATACAAAACACTCAAACGATAACCATTAAACCACTGTTCAGAAATTATCTGTGTCCAGAATCTAAAGAGTATTACTAGATGGTTAAGTAGCAAATGTGTGGAAGAGGAGAATTTGAGGGTGATCCTATACCATGCCTAAGCAGTGCAATGCAAAATCTCAGTAGGAAAATAAATTATATTTTAAAAAAGGATTTTATAGTGTGTGAGGTGGCAGAGTATATATGTGCCCAGAGAGATAAACACATGAAACACCGAGAAAACCACAAAGGAAGGCCTGGCTCAGAGACTTCCCTCATGATATGCAAGAGGAAACAACCTGATGTTACACTTCGAACCTCCAGAGCTATGAGAAATATACTCTTGTTCAGCCACACAGTGTGTGGTCTTTTATAATGGCAGTCCTGACAAACAAATGAAGACATTAATTCATGAATTTGCATATGTAGTTATTAGCATGTGAAATTCACTGTGCCTCCTGGAAAAAAAAAAATGCCTCTATAAAACAAAGAACTGCCTCATTTTTGTTTTTCCTGAAGAGGAGAACAGATCTCAGCTCTAAAGTTACCCGTGCATCCTAAAGAGGCAAAGCGACCTAAGGAGAGGTTGCTGTTTTCCATCAAGATTTAAATGCAATTATAATAAAACTTATGTTCATTTGCTGTAGAGTTAGATGCTTAAACAAGTCGATAAATTTTGGGGAACCCAGGAAAAATGGCTTGTTTACTTTTATTTCCACATTAATTTTGGTACTCACAAAGGATGAGGAGTGAGAGCCTTGGAGACCAGTAAAATCATTTCATTCACAAAATGGGTGTTTTATGAGTGAGCACACAGCAGATCGCTCCTCTGCTGCGCTCAGCAGATGGCCGCTGGAGCTCGGAGACATCTGCTTACTTTTTCTCCATTGTTGGTCTAGAATCTGAGAGAGCTAAGGAAAAAATATGCATATAAAACTTGCCTACCGAACGCTATTACAGCTGGCTGGGAGCTGAAAGTGGAGTAGGTTTTGATACATGATATTATAGTGCAAGAACACATTTTGACTAAGTAATTAAATACTGTTTCACAGGACAGAGGATAAATTCATGAATTGACTGATATTTCAACTTACTTGTTAAGGTAAGACAGATTTGCTCTCAAGAGTTGTGTTTGGATTTTTCTTGAAAATCTTCAGTTAGTCCAAGCATAAAAAAACAATACTTATTATGATTTATGAAAATAAGCATTGACTTAGCAGCCTTTTAAACACTTAGGCAGAATCAAATATATTCTAAAGACAGATTTTCCCTGGGAAATATTTTTTAAACCAAAATTGATTGATTCGAACTGGAAATATTGTTTATAATTGGCTCAATAAATGTTCGATATTACTAACAGTGGAAATAGCATTTCTAACTTTTAAGTGCTCAACTGTATTAAAACAAAACTTAGACCTAGTACACTTTATATAATAAGGTATAATTCACACCAGTTGGCTTTGTGGTCAGTTTATGAATAGTGATAAAGAAAAAGTCTCCTGAAGAAAATTTTCTATTAGATTCTGATGGAAGTGTAATTATAGTATGCACATAGGGAAGAAATACGAGTTTGTTGTCAAGGGATTGAAAAAAAATAAGAGAAAAGAAAAACTTGAATTGAGTCAGGTTTCTCCAGGATGTGTTTAAAGGTAGCAATATCATTCACACAGTGGTATTCAACCATTTTTAGGATAGTTACTGTTGTGTCAGGGGTTGCAAGGAGAACAATTACATTCAGGACACAGATTGTTTAATATTATTTTATGATGGTCACCCAGAATTAAATACAAAAAAGTGCAGGAGATCTGTCCAAAACACTAACAACCTAGAAAATCCAGCCGAGGGCCTGGACCCCACACCAATGTCCTGCATGAATCCAGCTGAAAGTCTTAGAGCCCATGACAATGCCTCCCTCAAGCCCAACTGGAGGATTAGAGCCCACGACAATGACTCATGCAGGTATATTTTGTGGATCTGCACGGGGAAGGCCCAGCGGTTAGCTGTGGAAATTAGGAAGTCTGTACCAGTGGGTGAAGGATCTTTGCCGGTAGGTTGAGGGTTCTATACTGAAGCCAAGAAGCAATGCTCAAAATAAAGGATCAGGGATTCCCTGAAAAGTACTACAGCCATCCTGGGTGACAGTGATGACCCGAGTTCTTCCAATGATGAGAACAGGAAGCCAGTGTGACAAGCTTTTCCTGGAGATTAAACAGCACACATCTTCCCTTCCAGAGCCTAGAAGCCATGTTTAATGTAAGGACCTGAGTTCTTCCAAAGTGCACTGCAGCCACTCTCGGCCACAAAGTCCCAGTCTCCTCCTTTGAGATCGGTTGAATTCATATCAAGGGAGCTACCCATGACAAGCTCTGACAGGAGAACCAACAACAACACTTAGGAGAACCCCCAATGCCATGCTTTTCCTCTTCACGTCTCATTTTATGCTGGCAACTTTCCTCAGGTGGGCCACTGTACTCAGTACCACGCTGATGTAATTCAGCTAGTGTTAAGGTGACCGCCAGTTTTAAATCCATAACAGTTTCTAAAGTGATTTTTAAATTTCACATTCACGAAAAAGTTGCAGAAAAAAGTAAAGTAATCCTATACAATCTTTCCACTTGGCTCATATTCACCAGCTGTTTACATTTTTCCTTGTTTCGTTTAACATTCCCTTTCTCTTTTCCAATCTCTGTATGTATGAGTGTTTCTCTTTTTGTGCTCTCCATGAGTTTAGAAGCACTTCATTAATAACTGGGACTAGAGTGTATCCCAAACCCTCATTTGGCTTTGTTGTCTTGGTCTTCATATCAGATATATTGTGTTTCCTGTGACCGTTACACTGATGATAGTTCTTAGAAATAAAACTACCAGCTAAGTATCGAGATAATACAAACTATTTTTACATAGCTTATCAGTGAAGGAAACTCAGAAATGTATGTATATATTATATGTATCCACTGAACCAATAAACTCATACTGATGCTTCAAGTATATTTGAAACATCAAAGTATATTCTAGGTATGCACTTTTAAAAACAGTAGGAAACCTGCTCTTCATTAAAATCAGTGGATTTACACATTTACTCCATTTAGTAATCCAAGAAAATAATTTCAAAATTGCTAATTTATTTCAGTTTCAAAAAACTAATGCTGGTAACCAGTGTTCAGGATTTTTTGTTGCTTCTTTTTATTTGTTTGAGACAAAATTTAATTAGAGTGAAATGAACAAGGCTTACATGTAAAATGTAACGAGTTTTGACAAGTGTGCACACTGTTAAGAGAAAACATTTCCATCACCTTAGAAAGTTACCATGTGGTCGTTTTCAATTAGTATCTTCACCTCCTACAGACGTGGAAACTATTACGACTTTTTCAAAATGGATTAGTTTTTTTCTCTTCTACAATGTATAATAAATGCAGTCATTCACCACATATTTTTCTCCTTGTATCTGCTTCCTTTGTCTACACAAGGTTTCCAAAATGCATCTACTTTGAAGATTAGTTTGTTTCTGTATTGCTGGGTAGTATTTTTTGTTACATAAATTTGCTACAAAATGCACATTCTTTTTCTTATTTTCACTGCAATTTTTCATTCTCAAAACATTCTGCTGTAAGACTGTTTGCAGACACGTGATTTCATTGATCCTAACTTCATATGGTTGAATTTCAAACACAGATATATACTTTTAACTGCTATTTTTTCTTTCTTTTTTGGTATCAGGGATCATATCAAGACCTTGCACTTGCCAGGCAGATGCAGGGTCACTGAGCTATATTCCCAGGATGCATTTACCTAGGCTGACAACTTCTCCTTTTCCCCCAAACAGGATAGAATATTTACATTTTCACCACCAAGAAAGTTCTGGTTGCTCTGCATTTTGACCAAAATTTGTTTACGATAGATATTTAAATATTAGTCATCCTCATGATTCTCTACATAGAAGACCCCCAAAACTTCATTGAAAGACACTTAGGTGTAATAAATAAATTCACCAATGTAGCTGGATACAAAATCAATACTCAAAAATTGATAGCATTTGTATATACTAACAACAAAATCACAGAGAGAGAAATAAGAGAAGCCACACCCTTCACACTAGCAACCAAAAAAATTTAACACTTAGGAATTATTCTCACAAAAAAAGTGAAAGACCTACATAGGTAAAATTATAATACACTGAAAAAAGTAATTGAAGAGGATCTCAGAAAATGGAAAGACATCCCTTGCTCATAGACACGAAGAATAAATATTGTGAAAATGGCCATTTACCCAAACAGTTATAAAGATTCAATGCAATTCCAATAAAAATATCATCAACATACCTCCTAGAACTCGAGAAAACACTCCTCAAATTCATCTGGGACCAGATGAGAGCTAGAATAGCAAAAGCAATTCTAAGCAGCAAAGGCAAGGCAGGAGGTATCACAATCGCTGACTTGAAGTTATACTGCAAAGCAACAGTAGTAAAATCAACATGGTACTGGAATAAAAAAAAAGAGGTGAAGATCAGTGGAATAGATTAGAAGATACAACCACAACTACAAACACACTCAACCACCTTATCTTTGATAAAGGGGCCAAACATGTTCACTTGAAGAATGACAATCTCTTTAATAAATGGTGTTGGAAAAACTTGCTCTCCATATGCCGAAAACTAAGACTAGACCCATGCCTATCACCACGTACTAAATTAAAATCTAAATGGATCACAATTCTGAATACTAAAATAGAAACACTATATCTATTGGAAGACAAATTGGGTAAAAATGTTCATCATTATTACTCATTAGAGAAATGCAAATTAAAACCACAGTGAGATTCCATCTCACTCCTGAAAGAATGGCCAGGATCAAGAAAACTACCAACAACAAATGCTGGAGAGGCTGTGGGGAAAAAGGAACTCTCCTGCGCTGTAGGTGGGAGTGTGGACTGGTGCAACCATCATGGAGGTCAGTCTGGAGACTTCTCAGAAAGCTGGGATTGGAAGTTCCATTTGTTCCAACTATTTCACTTCTAGACATTCCCAGAAGAACTGAAAAACATCATTCCACAGTGATATATGTGTACCCATGTTATAGCAGCACAATTTGTAATAGCCAGATCTTGGAAACAGCGCAAGTGTTCATCAACTGAGGAATGAATAAAAAAAGTCGTGGTATTTTTATACAATGGAGTACTACTCATTGAGATATTTATAAATAAATAGGTGCCGCTTGAGACCATACACATAGGTGAAATAAATCAAACTCACATGTATAAATACCGAATAGTTCCCCTAGTGTAAGAAATGGTAAAAATACATAAAAGTATGTGGCAATCCTGATTCCCCATTATATTGTTTTGAAGCCTTATAATGTTTTCATTCATTAATTGGAATGATTTTATTCTGAGTTGTTTGATTTTATTGTTTGTGATGGTATTAACAGTTATTTTGAAGAAAACAAGGTAATAGAATAGCTAGTGCTAATTTAATATCATATTGTTTTGAAGTCAAACCAAGGTTTTGTTCTTCTGTCTCCATCAGAAGATCATGTTGTATCTTATTGGATTTTATTATACATGATAGTATAAACAAAATGTTTTATAGACAAAGAGATAATATAGAAAGCATTTTTCATTTTCTGTTAGTTGGCTCTAAATACCCTGTAATACATTCATTCTCTTGAATGGTTTTACACTGTCATGTTGTGTTTGATGCCATAATATATGAAGTTATACTCAAATATTTCAAGGAAAGAGAAACTATGGTAGCTACTGTTATGTTGGGTTATCTTGTGATGAAATACTATGTTGCTTAAATTGCTCTGTTCTGACCTGTGTTATTAAGTTGCTTTGTCTTCTTTTATCTTAATCTCCTTCTTTTTAAAAATTTTTAATTAAAAAAATAAATAAATATTAGTCATCCTAGAGGTCATAAGGCATTTCTTTTAATTTACACTTTCTTGATTAATAATGGTGTTGAATATCTCATGTTTATTGGATAATGAGCATATTTCTTTCTAAAATGTCTAAACATTTTACCTACTGGTTACTGGGTTATCGAACTGAAGACAAGAATAGATATTTTATACAAGTATTTTTTGGATATAGATTTTGCTTGTACATTTTAGTAAATTTTCTGTTTTGTTGAACTTTGAACTAGATGTCTAATTTACCTTGTCATTTTCTTTGTTATCATCCCTTTCTGTAAAAACAACTTATTTACAAATATGCTTAATCTGAAAAAAAAATTGTTAACTTTATCTTCTTAAAGACAATTTGTTGTTTATCTCTGAACATTTTGACTTTAAGCTTTTACATTTAGGTTTAACTTCATATCTTTAACATTTTCATGTTTCTAAATGGACATTAAGGATTATTTTATACTATATATTTATCTGGTTGTCTTATAAATATTTGTTTAAAACATTTCTTTTTCTCATTAAAATAATTTCACAGGGCTGGCTATTTAGCTCAGCGGCATAAACCCCTGCCTTGCAAGCAGGCAGTCGTGAGTTCGATCCCTGGTACCAATAAAAAAATAATAATGATAATAATTCGCATATGTCAAATATTAAATGGTCTTGTACAAGTTTTATACATTGCTGTTTTGATTGTATCTTTTTTCTATTTTCATAAAAATGACACTGTTATTATGCATTGTTTCTGAGGTGATTTAAGTATTTCTTTTACTATCTGTTTTTTATGTACGTTGACTAGGTACCTTTCCTTTTACTAGTGATATATGGGGTGATTCCACTAATCAGAGTTAATCATTAGGATTATCTCTATGTAGATTGCGGTTTCTTTCTATCAGTACTCTCTCACATTTTAAAGGATAAATGATGGTGTTTAATATTATCACAAATTGAAAGTTCATGGAATTTTTGCTAAACTATCTCTTTCCTTTCTTTTAATGTTTTCTTTAGTGTTTAAGGTAGATCATTTCCTTTTATATTTTTCCAGTTCAGAGACATTTGGATCTTTTGTTTCTTATCTAGATTGCCAAAATTCAGGGAATTATTCCTTCAGCTTATAATGTTCTGCTCTAGAATCTTTAGTTCTGATAAAATACCCATTTTCTGCTAATTAATCTGTTTTTGTGGACAGATTTATTCATATTGTTTCCTTGTTTCTCTGGCTAAATGGCATGATGTCCTGTTTTGTATCTGTGTTTGTGTTGCACTGTTACACTTCTGTGAGTTTGAGCTTATTTTAATTCCACAAATAAGATGATAAAATATGTGTCTTCCTGGACTGATTTATTTCACTAGCATAATATCTTCCAACTTCTTTTACATTCTCAGAAACCGAGAGTTCCTTATTTCTCCAGACGGGGTAATTTCACTGTGTATGCAAGTCATGGAGTTTTATCCACTCATCAGCTCCAGGCCTGGTGGATATTGTACTTGGTCCATCTTGTTACTACTGTAAGTAGTGCTGTATTGAATATGGAAGTGAATATGGAAGAACAGTTGTGGCTCAGCACACTCACTTCACATGCCTTGAATATGCGGCCAAAAGTGAAATTGCTGGTTGATGTGGTAGCTGTATTTCTAGTTTTTCATAAACCTCTTAAGTTTTTCATAATGACTGTACTAATTTATATCTTCCCAAACTTCATGCAAAGTTTCTCTGTTCTATAAATCTTCAGCAAAAATTGTATTGCTTATTTAGTTATATAATTTGGTGTTTTGAAACCAGGTCTCACTATACAGTTCAGGCTGGCCTCAAACTCATGATTATCATCCTGCCTCAGCGTCCCAAGTGCTGTGATTACAGGCATGTGCAATCACACCTGGCTTATTTCTAATTATTAATGATAGTAATTCATGTGTGTAAGTTCCCAGCATAGCTCATCCTCCTGCCTACTCTGGGATTAGAGATTGGGTTACCAAGCATTATTGATATTACTTTTAATGGGAAATTTACTTAGTTAATCATATTAGTGTTTTAAATATATTTATTGGCCATTTGATATACCGTCTTTTGAGAAATATGTATTCAGGTGATTTTCCTCATTTATTAATCAAGATTTTTCTTACTTTAGTATGGAAGATTTTTAATTCCTTACATACTTCAAATAATATCTATTTATCAGACATATAATTTGCAAATATTTTCAAGGAGTTATCCTTTTACCTATGAATTATCTTCTTTACTATGCAGAAGCTTTTATGCTTGATTAAATTCCATTTGCCTATTAAATTTTTATTAACTGTACTTCTAAGATCAGATCCCATATATTATTACTCAGAACAATCCTGAGGAGGGTCTGTCCTATGTTTTGGTACTGGTTTTATAAATTTTAATCTCCTGTTTACTTTATTCAAATTTTGAGTTGTTTGTATCATATCATGTGAGTTAAGAAACTAATATCATTGTCCATTATGTAGTTATCCGATTTTCCAAAAACCTTCCATCGATGAAACTGTTCTCTCCTGATTTTATCTTGTTGACATCTTCATTGAAAATAAAATGACTCAAAATAATTAGTTCAGATATACTCTTGTATTGTGAGTTATTGTACCTATTCATTGTCAGCACCCTGATGTTTTGAGTTTTATAGTTTTGTAATACTTTTCTTTCTTTCTTTCTTTTGTGGAGGGGTGGCAGTTTGGGTACCATGGATTGAACTCACAACCTCCACTTGCCAGGCTGGTGCTCTTCTGCTGAGCTATTTCCCTAATCCTGTAATATATTTTCAAAAGCAGATATTGTAATGTTTCTAGTTTTGCTATTTTGTTCAAGACTATGTTGAGTATTGGGGATTTTTGTACTTCTATAAAAATTTTATGCATTTTTTCCATTTCTTGAAATATAATTTTGCAATTTTTAGAACATTGCTATGAATTTGTAGATCATCTGGGTAATGGACATTAAAAATATTAATCCTTATAATCTATTAACACAAGATCCCTTCTTGAATTATTCTTTCTCAATTTTATGAGTTTTAAAGTTTCATATATGTACATCTTTTTTCTTTTTAAGTACATTACCAATAATTTTATATTAGAAAAATGATTATCTGTTTTAATTTCCTTTTTTATATTTTATGTTACTGCACAGAAATTTTAGTGTTTTACTGAATATCAATTTATATCCTTCAGCCTTTGTTTGTTTATGTTAGTTCTAAGATGATATTTTTAATCTTCAAGCTTCTCTATTGATGACACCACGTGGATTGAGAAACTTTCACTTTACTCTTCCCAAATTGGATATTTTATATTTATGGTTAATACTCCTACCTTATTTTTCTAAAACCATGTGGAACAGAAGAATTCAAACTGAGCATCTTGTGTTACTCCTAATTTACAACAAAAGCTTTCAAGTTTTTACCATTGAGAATGATGTTAACTGAGAGCATATCATTTTTGGCATGGCATCCCTGAGAAAAACTAGGGTATTATCTTATTTTCTCATTGCTAGGACAAAATATCCAGTATCCACAAATTAAAGGAGGAAAGGCTTATTCCACTTCATAATTTGTACAGACTTCAG